GTCATAATGGTAGGAAGACTGATAGAAACGCACCTTGTCCTGAGTCCATTGTATGCACAATTATTTCCAGGGTCGGACCGTGGACGTGGTACATTCCCAGACATTTCGCCGGCATCGCCAGTGAGTTTTACCATTCGTAGCACTATGTTACAACTCGTCAGACGAGATAAGTATTAATAATTTGTGAAAAAGCCAAGCATCAAGCTTGAGACATAAAGGCCCAATGGCGCAATGAAGTGTGACCAAGTTTGCCTAAGCCCGAAATCAAATTGGAAGTAGGATGATAACCAGCAAAGCAGGTCAAGTAGCAACTAGCCGCAACATAACAAATGAGTAAGGCTAGGCATGACTATGACCACTTAGACTTGCCTGGACTGATGAGTTTGACAGAGATGTTGAATGAATGAATGAATGTGAGCACAGCTGTGGGTTAACTACGAAGTTAGCCCACAATATTTTGGTGGGCGGCATGGGCATGACGATTTCTCTACTTTCTACTTCCATCCGTTAAGATCTAGTACACACTTAGCAATTAGGTTATGGTCTCGTCTCGTGTATAGCAAAAGCTAGCTCAACAATTATTTTTACGAACATTTGATCTTTGGCGGATAGGTCTAACGGAAAGGATAGTCAAACCCTCGTTCCAACCCGGTAGGATAGGTAGCGCTGGTAATTATCAAAAATAAGGTAATGAAGAAAAAAGATGAAAATATTCGTCTTCCTTCGTAAGTAGTTCTGGCCGCTCAATTTCATTCCGGTTAGCCCATCATACAATGCGAGGAAATTAATGAAAAAATTCAGATAGAATTTACGTACTTAGTGGTGACACTTATAATTTAATGTTCTGGGACGAGGATGGGCAGGAGTCAAGCGCTCACCTCATTTGACCGATCTTGAAGAGCCAGTATTATGCGGACGTAATCGGCCTTAGACATGCTAAGATTAGCGAATTAACGCCCGCACGAGTGGACTTCCGGATTATTTCTTACTTGGAATGCTGGTTTGACTAAATCCAAATCACTCAGTAGACCTTGAATCTCGACTTGGCAGTAATTCGAGATGTGCCATATTCTTTGACGCAAGACTAGAGAACTATTAAGTTAGGTTAAGTTAAGTTTTGGAACCAATCCACTTGTACGAACGGCATAGGCTACCATTCGCCAGTCGGACAGCATTACAACTAAGCTTTCATCATTAATAACACTTAGATGGGGTCTGACGTAGACTTAACACGATAATAATGCCTAAATAGAGCTCTAATAGAAGGGTTTAAGGACAGCCAACGTGACCAATTGCTAGAGGAAACACACAAACCGGCCCCAATAGCATAAACCAGATAACAAACCGTCGAAACCCAGCCACTGACGACATAAAGAAGACAAAGGATTACAGACATATAATAAAAGCACTTGAAACACCGAATAAAAGTAGAAAAGACTAATCATCATTGTCCTCTCGATCACTGCCGCTTCCTCTATCCCGGTCATCATGCTCAGATCCGTTTCTGTCGATAGAGCCCGAACGGCTCCTGTCAGCAGACATGGAGTGTGATCTTGAATGGGAAGCTGAACGTGAGCGATCGACCGACCGAGATCTGGAATGATCACGGGAAGGAGAGCGCGAAGGGGAATGAGATCTCGTCCGTTCTTTGGTGTCAGACTTGTCGCGGATGTCCCCATTTCGGCTAGGGCTACGAGAGTCCTGCATCTATATATCAATTAGAAATAAGAGATTACCTTAGAGTGGTGGCTTGCTTCCGAGGCAGAATGATCTCTAGAGTGGTGAGAAATAGATTTACTTCTTGATTTGCTGCCAGACTTAGAATCAGACTTAGATCTGGATTTGCTTCTGGAGGAATCCCGATGACCATCTCTGGACAAGTCGGACTTTCTGCTAGATCCAGACCTACGCCGCCTCTCGACACGTGAATTCGACCGGGAGCGAGAACGCCTACTGGAGCGGGAGCGCGAATGGGACCTCGTCCGCGTGCGTCTGCTCCTTGATCGTCGCGAGCTTCTTCTAGAACGACTAGTTGATCTGGAACCGGTTGACCTTCTCCTCGGTCTGTCCTCGTACACCTTTAAGCGCCTCCCGTAGAGCTCGTAGCCATCGAAGCGCTCGATCGCATGCTTGAGGTCATTACTGCTAGAAAATTCGACAATCCTATGAAGTCATTAAAATAACAAAACGTTACCCTTCGTTTCGCACAGCTTTGTGCGCATCTGCATAGGTGACCTCGCCGGCTTTTCTCATCATGTCTTTCAGATCCTGCAAGTAGAAAAAGTGATTAATCGGAGCCAGAATAAAGTAAAGAGATAGAGATAAGGCCAGGATTAATTAGATGACGTCCAAGGGGAGGCGCCGCCCAAACCGGTGCCGGGCTAGTCGAACCAGTCCTAGGTCAGATACTGCATCATCATCGGTGCTTAATTAAGTAGGCGATCCAACATAGTTTAACAAAAAGTTAAAAAAATTGCCTTAGCCTCGACCCATTGCCAGTGCCCGGCCCAGCCCCAGGCGGACGAACGGTAACGTCCCCTGAAAGCTCGCGACACCTCGCGCCCTGAAGCGATTAGCTGGGAGCACAAACGACCAGTGGCTCTGCCGATCGACCGTTGAACGGCACGAACGGATAGGTTCCTCCTGTCAGTTTACGATCGCCAACTGAACCGACCACGCCTACGCGGCCTACGAACATCGACGGGTCTCTGAATACGAGACAATCAATCAGTAAGTGTAGGGAATTTGTGGCGTCAGAGGAAATAATAATAAAAGAGGCACTTACCTGCCAGCTGACTCGAGATGACAAATTTTCGACGATGGCGCGATACTCTGTTCTAGTCGGCGGACCATATCTACTTTGACGGAAAAGATTAAGACGGCAAAAGGAACCTACCGGTCGCGACCAGAACGCCTACTACCTCCACGGGAACCCGGGGGCAGGCGGGCATGCTCGACTATTATACGCTCACCACGTAGATCCCTGCCGTGCAAATCGTAAACAGCATCATCAGCATCCTTGTCATTATCAAATTCAACGAATCCATAGCCATTCTTGAGAACAATGTCCCTTAGCCTTCCATAGCCTTTAAAGAAGCGTTCTATGTCTCTCTCAGAGCAGCGAGGAGGGAGGCGGCCGATGTAGACGCGAGACATGGAGGAGAAGAATGACGAACGAAAGAGAAAAATGGAAGACAGTAAGCATATATAAACACGTAATCAAGATTATTTAAATAATTAAACAAAAATATCGAAACATAATAGTTTAAAATATGTTTAACGATATTTAAATAGGCTGGAATATAATTTTTTAATAAACATATTTTAGTATATTTTATCTTGGTGTATTTGAAGCTAAACCACCTCTAATTTTCTCGTTTTACAACTTGTATAATTATATAGTCTTTGTAAAATAGCTTTATGAACAGGACATTTTGTAAACCTCTTGGTTCATGAAATGTATTGGATTTAACAAGAATTGGCGATTAAATAATTGACCCTCATAGATTATTTATAAATTCAAATACCACAGGTAGTCGAATTACGAATGCGATTAGTAGTATCTGCAACCTTTTTAAATGCGAATAGCCTTATGCTCTAACATGCTTAAGATACTTTTAATTGTCTAAAAACTATACGTACTTCGTGTGCAAATTTTTTATCTGAATAATTATACGAATTATTATTTTATATTGTTTCTTTATAATATATATGCAAAACAAATTTAAATGAATGACATAAACGCTTCTAATTAATCATCAAACCCCATTCATTTTATTAACGCATTCTTTCAAAAGAAGTTTCCCCTCCTGTTTATATCTCAAATTTTGTAGGAAAGTCGTTTTTTGGGGAATCTATTGGTTTAAATAAGCTGAGCTCACTTACATTTTAAGTAAAAGTATATAGTGAAGTGATTCAAAAATTGATCTCACCAGAAGATGAAGCCAGATTCTTCTTGGTCAAAAACGTTGGGCTTATTGTAACAATCTAATTATCGCTATGTTTGAGTTATTTTGTTTTGATTTTACTGGATAATTGCTAATCTTTCGTCTTCAGTGGAAATGGGATTATTAGACCGGTGTATCGTTTATACAACTCTATTCAACTGACGACATAAAAATTTCACCGGCCTATGCCTACAGGTTGAGCATGAGTAAAGTATTAAGTAACTTGGTAAACTCAATATATATATTAATTTGGGTGCATGCGTATTAGTAGTATTGTGTGTAGTTATGTGCTTTCATGAGTATGTTTGCGTGCTGAACAAGCAATGCTTATTCAAAAAAGTTGGAACAGAGGGACGTAAGCTTAGTCAGTACTCATCAGCATCGAAATATATTACATTGGGACAATGCAGAATTCACTGTCGCCTTTTAGTGAAATTTATCATGTAAAGTGAGCTCAACAACAATCTTGTGAAAATCATTAAAAAGTGAAGGGTTATATTAAGCCAGTGAATTAGCTGAGAATAAATATCTTGTAACAACTTTTTTTTCAGAGCGAATTTATGATATGTCAATTATAACAAAAAGAAATATTTACTAAAAACAAGGGGTTTTTCACCTTGACAGTAGGACGCTATTCTGAAAAATAACCAGAAATTCCTCCGCTTAATTTGGACCCAATGCCGTTTAATATGGTCAAATTAGGTACTGGAACAAATCAAAGCAAATCGGAATACCAAAATCTATAATCCCATGTTTGATATACTAGCAAGATAAACAGAGGGAAGAATGTTTATTACGCCAAGGGTAATAGGGAATATTGAAAAACGGATGCCTGAAGGCGGATACCCAGACGTATATATGGCTCCAGTTAATGGTTCTATATCCTTACTGAACGAGGTATGGATTCAAATAGTCCAATGTTGAAAATAAGTTAGATGAGTACGCTAAAATGTTGGGGCACGAAGATTTTAAAGCAAACTATGGTTTTTGTCCCGATTTAAATTTAGACATGACATTAAATTAAAGAAAGTCTAAGGCGGAACTGTTAGTGGTGACAAAATAAGTAAGGAAGAATGGAGATTTATATGAATGCCTAACATTCTACGATAAGGTTTGGGAAGATGATATTTTTAAAATGACAATAAAACTGGACCTTTTGAGTTTATCACTCCAAGCGACTAACTTTAATTAACAAAATAAGAAATAATTTTGGATTCGAAGAAGGAGGTGGGCCACAAAATTTTATTATTCTGTAAATACGTAAAAACGACAATTTATTATATTGTAGATACAAAGACCAAGATAATGTAGCCTTATGTATTGTCGCAGTCTTCTTAAGCTTTATAGTGTTTACAGAAGTGGGCTGACCATACTGCGACGATACCGAGGGCCATACCAGATTGGTATTCATATCTTTGTTTATAGTTTTTGTTTGACCAAGCTTTCGCAGCATAGTGGGAGCTTAATGGAACCGTTGTAAAGCGAACTTTGTCCTGCGTCATCTGCCATTGTATTCATGAATTTCAGCATTGGACCATTTATTTGGTAGGTTTTCAGACGTATCACACGCATCGTATTTGGCATCGAAATTGAGAAGCGTCATCACTATTACATAGTTAAAACTTCTCAAATTGATAAGTAAGGGCAATCCTCTTGACCAATTATTTTTTTAACCGTTGTGCTATCCCTCCACGCTCATAGTCTTTGTCCTAACTTCTAGTTCCCTATCTATTCAGTACAAATCCACTTCATATGGCCCATTTACCTATTCACACCTTTCAGCATTCTAGTTTCTTCCAATGTCGCCTAAAAGTGTCGACTGAAGCATAATCACCTCCACAACTGGTTTCAGATGCCATTCGCAGGGCTTCTGTCTCCTTGCATCTGACTTCAATTTAGCAACTCTTTCCGTCCTACTTGTCAATTGATCACTGCTAAACATCTGAAAGCTTGCTTCCTATCAGCTTTCTCTATCGATTCATATTCTTAACTGTTTCAAATGTTATGGTATCCCCTATTTTGTTCGCAATTTGATGAGAAAATATTATTCCAACAAGGGCAACGATATATTATATCAAGCTTTGTACAAAAAATAGGAGGAAACATATGATACGGAGAGGAGAAAATTATTAGGTTTTTATATAATAAATCTAGATTCGGACATTATTTGAGTCGGATTTCCATCCAGGAGGATTTCCTGAAACTACAAAAGATTACAGATAGAATATTAAAAAGATCTATGGCTGAATAAATATTTGATCTATGGGAAACTCAAGGTAAAAATACCCAGGAAAAAACGAGGATGTCTCTAGAAAGATGAATCTGACAGCCCAGACAAGAGGTATTTCGGAATGAAAGGAAGGTAATTAAGGACATTAGCATGGAGGTGATAAATACTACTGAAAAGCTACCTAAGGAATAAAAAAGAAAACTGGAAATGGAAATCATCCAAACACGAATAAGAACAATATATTCAAGATATATATAAAATTGAGGAGAAAAGATCAAATAGTTTTGTAAGCCAACAAGGGATTTGCCACTGTTGTGATAGACAGGAAAGCATACATGGAGTAAATGAAAAAATTTCTCGGGGCAACAGGAACTTATCGACCGCTAACAAAGATCCAACAGTTTAAATCAAATGGGTACTGCAAGAAATGTTGAAGGAAATGTGTATGAACAGGTAAATCAACAAATTAACAATACAGTCACTCCTACGAATGGATGCAAAAAATGCTTGCTGAAGAAATACAGAAAAGATAAACCATTTAGAATAGCAGTCAACAAGAAACACGGAGCAATACATAAACGGGCAAAACTTATCTTTCGCGAGTTAAAGAAGGTGAATGACAGATTGTTGCATAGAGTAGAGAATTTATACGAATTTTTCCAAAGAATCAACAGCAACAGTTTGAAGGTAAACGAACGTTTGATGAGCTTTAATGTACAGCTCATGTACACAATCATCTCAAAAGATTAAACATTAACAGAACCGCTGGATATCTTGGAAATAGAAAACGATATCCTGGAGACGTAGCAAATCCGTAAAGAGCCTCTAACCCGATTAATCAACCTAACAATAAGGACTTCATATTCCACGTTCAACGGCCGCATCCATGAGAAAATATTTGGACTGGTAATGTACCATGTCCCCAGTCCGACTCTGGAAATTATCATGTATACAATGGACTCCGGACAAGGTGAGTTCCTCTAAGTCTTCCTACCAATATGACCAAGTTTCAAAAACAGGGTCAAACAATTTCTATACAACGCAAGTAGACTGCGACTACACAAAGTGCCACACCATCTTGGTCTTCATACCTCCGATTAATTCTTTTCACCCCGATATTTTGGGAATGCACCAATTTATCGGTCTGGTGCTGGAACTCATTAGGAATACTATAGCAGAGGAGGGAGGACTAGGTACATTCCACAAAACGTCCCTGTCGCTCAGGCAATGTTGCGAAAATCAGGAGACTGCGATCAAACTTAAGCCCACATCATCTTGGCCTTCTCCAACCTGTTTTAAAATTCATTTAAATGAATATTTTGTTGCTCAGTAAAAGTTAGCTTGCTTTTTACTGTGTACCTTCCTAACTCTGCTTAAAATTTAGCATTGTTTGGCCAGCTGTCTAATTTGACCATCGTTTTCTAGTCCCGATGTATCTCATTTAACTCGAATATAATGTATGCTCAGCACATAGTATTATATATATATTATAGACTTTATATACTTTATATCATGCTAATATATCAATAAGATATATACAATATGCAATTATATAAACGATAATACCGATAAAATAAAACCAATTATTCAGACGAAGCATTATAGTCGAAAATGTTCTTACTCATGAAATGAGAATTTTTTATTTGCGTTGTTAAGACTTGTTACGCCCGGTGATTATTATCCATATGGATTC